CATTGCGCATTTATAAGATAGGGTATATCGACAATATATCCCTGCCTTATAAAGCACAATGCAGCGTCAAAACGCCCCCTTTATTATGAGATGTGGTTTTGACCAAGCAAAACCCATCTTTAAAGCGTCGATCCTCACCAAGGAGAATCAAGGCTTTTCCCGATCGCCTCACCAAGGAGAGCAAAATGGGGTAAAAGGACTAATTTGCAAATTCTCAGAAGAAGAGGGTTAATTTGCAAAATTTCCATAAAGCGTCGATCCTCACCAAGGAGAACCAAGGCCTTTCCCGGTTGCCTCACCAAGGAGAACAACGGGGGGTAAAATGGACCAATTTGCAAATATCCAGAAAAAAGAGGACTAATTTGTAAATTTTCGAAAAAGGTCAAAAAATTGCTCACCAGCATATGAGGGAGGCGCGCCATCAACCGATGCAGCAGGAAAACGACCTCTCGATACTCGCGACATAATGGCCTACACGTAACCCTAGGTCAACACCAGTCAACGCGTTGCGATCAAAAAGTCAACGTACGACGGTCAAAACCCCAGGGTCAACGCCGGACAACGCGTAACCTTAGGTCAACGCCAGTCAACGCGTTGCGATCAAAAGGTCAACGTACGACGGTCAAAACCCCAGGGTCAACGCCGGACAACGCGTAACCTTAGGTCAACGCCAGTCAACGCGTTGCGATCAAAAGGTCAACGTACGACGGTCAAAACCCCAGGGTCAACGCCGGACAACGCGTAACCTTAGGTCAACGCCAGTCAACGCGTTGCGATCAAAAAGTCAACGTACAACGGTCAAAACCCCAGGGTCAACGTCAGACAACGCGTAACCTTAGGTCAACGCCAGTCAACGCGTTGCGAGCAAAAATTCAACGTACGACGTTCGAAACCCTAGGGTTAACGCCGGACAACGTGTAACCCTAGGTCAACGCCTATCAATGCGTTGCAATGAAAGAATCAATACTCCGAAAAGTATACGAGTATAAACTGCTTCTTAATACTCCAATAAGGTATATGAGTATAAACTATTCCCTATTTTTGGTTTGAGAAGTTCCTGGAGAATATGTTTTTATAAATATTCTTAAGGATAACTCAACAACACTACGCCGGACAACGCGTTGCAAATAAAGACTCGACGCCAACAATCGATGTTTAGCTAAAAGATCAGGAATCAACTCCAAGTTTAAAATTCCGACAATGGTCAGACAATAAATGCAGCACCGGAACTCTTACAGATATTCGACAAAGCACCGAATAACCTGGAAGATTGAAGGAATCAAGAATGGAGATCATTCCAAAGGTCCCGTTACACCGACTAAAGGTGGGGACGATCATATCCAAAGTATTCCAGACTCTTCTATAAAAGAACGAGACTGAAATACTTTGGAGGGGGTATCTGTAGGCATATAAAATTGCTTATAGGTCCCTTAGCACAGTTCGGCATAAACCGACGAACCAACGAGGCGACGAGATCGACGAATCGCACGGAAGCGACGGAATGCATCCATACGCGTTCGGAATCAAGCCAAGTGTCAAAGAATCAACGAGTCATCTAACCGAGAACAGACTCAGACGAATCACGATCGAATCAAGATCAGTTTCGGACTCGAACTCAGAAGTGGATTTACTGCCAAATCAGGAATCAGACTTACTGCCAAATCAGATCAACAAATCAGATCAACCAAATCACACAGAAAGAACCGGAAACAACGGAAAACAACCAAACCCACCACCTAGAGGGGCTCGGCCGAAGCCGAGCCACCTCAAGGTGGCTCGGCCCAGAGCCGAGCCACCCTGAGGTGGCCGGCCCAGATCTGTGCCTAGGCACAGATCTGGGTGCCTATAAATAGGAGAGGGGGTGTTCATTTTTAGAGGCCGAACTTTCAAGAGCCGAAACTCTGCCGGATTGAAGAGTGAACTCGAAGCTTTGAAGACCTGAAGACTTGCACATTCGGATCTGATCCTCGGCGAGCATCCACGTCAGAAAAGGCAGGATTTCGAGAGGAAGAAAGAACAGATCTGAGATCTACACGAGATCACACTCCAGATCTAAGCTTGGTCTTAGATCTCGAGATCCGAGCGATTATTCCCTTGGTGGACTAATCCCTCCCGGCTATTATTCCCTTCGTGGAATAATACCCGTATAATCGTGTAGATCCGACCGGATCTAGATCGCGCGGTGGTCCACGGATTAACCCCGGCGTTGGCAAAGAACCCACCAAAGCGAGCGACCGCAAAACAGGAGCTCGCGATTTGTTCACAAGAGGAAAGTTGTAATTTTTACTTTTTTTCTTTGATTTAGTTGTAACCGGATCTATAAAAGACCGGATCTTTGTAATCCAAGATGACAATTATTTCAATGAAGAAAATAGTTTTCCCCGCGAACACTATCTACCTGATTAGTAGTGTAGCAACGAGTAGATTCACCGTGCTAGTTTGATAACTCTTGGAGTTGTTGGGCATGTAAATCCTTGACCCGTTACATGGCCATCTCCATTTCCATTTTAAAATCTTCTTTCTATTTGGCCAAGGCTTCTTGAATAAGTTGAGCCACTTGTTCGGTAGTGATCATGAATACCTCTCGAGCTTGCCCCATACTAGACATTGTATCATTGGAGGCGATTGCGGAGCAAGTATCCAAAAGTCCATCATCTGAAGATAGTTCTTCATTCATCCTCGAGTAATTGCTATGTCTGATGGCTTCTAGCTAGAGCCAAGACATTCGTTGGGCTATCTCTGAATTGACTTTTCTTCCTGGAGAAAAGTTAGGATTAGCATCACTCGAAGCAAGCACAAACTTTCCTTTGTCAGCCATGTTGATGGTGACTTCTCGGAGTTTGTCATCTTGAATAACCAGTCTTCTTTTGAGGGAGCATCTTGATTTGGGTTTTGATGCTTCAGTGGAAAGCCTTCGGAATACTGAGACCCTCTGTGGAGCGGTCTTAGGATAGCTACACTCTGATAAGACTGTCCTGATTAACCTCTCACAAGGGCAGTGTAAGTTCGATTTTAGGGTACTTCTTTCTCGAGATTTATTCGTACCCCCAGCCCAGTAGTATAACTCATTGACTTTGTGGTTGGTGCAACTTATCGGTTGCTAATTTGATTCCTTAGGTATGACGTTGTCATATAACAGACATGTCTTCTTCTGAGGATGTAATACCTTGTTGGCGTTCGCAGGAGTCACACGTTTATAATTACACATTTGTGCAGGTGGAATCCCAACGGGTTCCCGGTCTTCCACACGAACCCCTAAGCGGGTGGTTCTAGGAATTAATTTGTTAGGAGGGTGCGTACGAGCCCAAGTCTGAATAGTTGTTCGGGAATTATTCAGCAAATGTAAGCATTCCTTAACAGGAGCTTTGCCTCGA